TTAATCTCTGCCAGAAAAGGGTCTGATCAGGCCTTTACAGAATGGTCATGTGATGCCGCAGAGCCAGACCCATCTGCCCCTGGAGCTAGAAAGAAAGAACAGCTCAGATACCAGTGATGGGGGGCTAGAAAGGAGAAGGTTCTCCTCCTATCTCTCTGTCTGGCTATCTCTCCCCCTCTGGTTTCTGTCTGTCTTTCCCCCTCTGTCTCTGTTTCTCCCCATTTATCTCTGTCTATCTCTCCCCTCTGCCTCTGTCTCTCCCCCTCTCCCTCTGTCTGTCTCTTCCCCTCTGTCTGTCCCCCTCTGTCTGTTTCTCAGTCTCCCTCTGGGTTCACAGCTCTGCTCTCTTCTCATTCCCCTCCCGTCTTTCTGTCTGCTCTGGCTCAGGCTCCTCTGTTAGACTTTCATCCAGGTGATACCAACTAGCCATGAATGTTCACCAAGGCTCCATCCTGGTCCCTCTCCTCTTCTCCCTCCACCCCCAGGGGTCCCAAAGAGTCAGGCACCACTAAACAACAAAAGCTAAAGCAATAGTCAGCCACTGCAATTTGTTGAGCTGGGGGAGTGACCTGCTCAGATCTGTGCTTAAGGAAAATCACTTAGCAGCAATAGGAAGGCAGGGCTGAGGTTGGGGAGAGATCTGGGGCAAGGAGGCCAGTGGGGAGGCTGCAGCAGTGATCTCAGCTGGACACTGCCCCTCATCCACCTCGAGAGCTACTGAGCTCCCCATCATTAGAGGTATCCCAGCACACGTGAGCCGATCCTCACATCAGCCAATATGCTGTGCAGGGTATTCCAGGTTCTCTGGGATGCTGGACTAGCTGTGGTCCAAGATCCCTTCCAGGCCTCAGAGGCTGTGATCCTGTGCCTTAAGGGATTTGCTTTTTCTGCTTGAGCCCAGAGGAGAGAGCTAGGAGTAGCGGGAAGTTACAGGAAGATGATTTTCAGCTTGGTTTAAGGAGAAACGTTCTTGGCACTTAATAATTGCTTGTTGACTGACTGACTTACTCCCATTTCAACCCATCCAGAAGTCGAATGCGCTACCTCTGGAGGTGGTGAGCTCCCTGTCCCTGGAGGTCTGCAAACAGAGTCTGGGCAGCCTCTGGATGAAGGTCTAGCAAAGGAGACAGAGCAGAGAGAAAGACAGGAGGGGAATGAGAAGAGAGCTGAGAGGGAGACAGAGACAGATGGGGAGAGACAGAGGTTGTTGGGGTGTTAGAGGAGCTTTATGTTGGGATACAGGGTTGGTCCTTTGAGCATCCAAGACTTTCTTCTTCCCTTGGTTCCTTCAAAGACTATTTCCCTTCCTCCTTCCAAATGCCCTTCCCTATGAGGATGCTCTTATTATCCTGGACCCATCCGAGTCCAAATCTTGGCTCATCCCTGGGTGACCACAGCCTAGTTCCTTCCCCTCAATAAGCCTCAGTTTCCCCCTGTGTACAATGAGGATGGAGCCAAATCATCCCTTAGGATGGAAGAGGCTGGGCACTGTCCATCAGCTCAGTGCTGGACCTGGGATGACCTCTGGTGGAGAATGGGGGAAGACCCTCTCTAGGCAGCCCCAACCCCTGGAATGGGGGAAAGAGGTGGAAGGAAGGAGGTGTGTAGAGAGTCTTTGCCCAAGAAGCTAGCCTCGCTTTAGGAGAGACTGGAGGCCAAACCACTGCCCCGCCTGACCACCACCATCTCCCTTTGGAGCCTGATGGAACCAGGTAGACAACCTGAACCCAAGAGCCCCACAAATAGCACTGCTCCGTCCTCCTCCAGAGCCAGCCCCAGGCCGGGGCCTGCAGCCATCATCCAGAGGAGCAATCTCTGTGGAGAACCCCACCTCCCTTACCGGCACCCCCACCAACTGCCCCCATGGGAAGGGAAGAGACCCTTGGAAGTCAGCACCCCGCCATTGTCCCTGCTCCCAGCTCAGCCGCCAGAGCCCTAGCTGCGACCCAAGCTTGCTTCCGTGGGGGCGGCCCAATCATGAAAGCTTCAGGAACATTTATGTTTTAAATAACCAGCTATGAAGGAAAATCCAGCCAGCCTGTGACGTGACCCAGGTTGGGCTCGGGGAATTGTTGAGGTGATGCCCCCTTCATGTCTTTGTCTGGGCCACCATGCTAGGTGCTGGCGCTACAAGTCGGCTTCCATTCTATGCGAGAGACCGCACACATTGGGGGGGGGCAGGTCGGTCTGGGGATCTGCCGGTAGGAGCTGAACTATCTCCTTCCTAGGAACAACGGCCTCATGGTGATATTGACGGGATTAAGAGGTAGGAGAGGACTTGGCAAGGTGGCTGGGGCTGGGCTGGAGGTGGGGTGAGGCTGGGACTGGGAGCTTCTCTCTCAATTTTGCCCTTTGGCATCTTGGGGACAAGGCTGAACCCTCCTCCAACCTGTCAGATAGTTAACGTCAGCTCTCAGGTTCTCCCTGAGTCTGCCCTTCTCCTGGCTGAGCATCCTTGGAACCTCTTTGAGGTGGTCTGCTTGGGGGGTAGGGGCAGGAGGGGCCTTAGCTCCCTTGTTCTCACTTGATTCTAGTTGAGCAGACTAAAGTCCTGTTAGCTGCTTGGTCAGCTGGCAGACTCCTGTTAAGCTTGTGGTCCACTGAGATCACCAGGACTTTTTTTTTAAATGCCCTCTCAGGTTCATGCTTTTCACAACTCCATCCTCTTTTCTTCTTCTGAACCTTAGGAGTTCCTGGTCCCTCCTGTGGCTGGGGGAGGGAGGGGCTGTGCTGGGAGCTCAGCCCTGCTCTGGCTTCACAGCCCTACTGGTGGGTGGCTCAGACTCCCCGAGGACTAACCTGGAGAAAGGGGGATTATTGGGAATCCCCTTGGGCTCCACCTTCTCGCCAGCCTTCTGTCCCCGCCCATACCCAAGGCAATGGGCATCTGCAACCTTTGTTTATTCAACGCTTTTAATCTTCAGTGAGCAAAGGTTTTGCTTGTATGTTATGGATGGGCAGGGCTGGCATATTTTTTTAAAAGGAAAACAAGCCTTGAACCTTCTGGCCCAAAGTGGGTTTAGGGCTTGGGGGAAGAGCAAGGCAACAAACACTCATTAAGCACCCACTATTTGCCAGGCACCTACTATGTGCCAGGCACCCACTATGTGCCAAACACCCACTATGTGCCA